GTCACCCCCCCACCCCCTTTTTTTGAACCCCACATTCGGAGAAGACCCCCGGCCCGTCAGGAATTCGATCCAATCCCTCCAAAGACCCCCAAACTTTAAGGAAAACCCTCGTAGAGACTCATCAAAGATCTCATTAGGAAACCCACGTAACCTCAATTCCACCTTCAGGGTGAAGAGAAAAAACATCTCAACAGTCGGCAGGCTGGTAAACCTTTTAACACGGTGCATGAACGACCCAACCACTGCCATCTTTTGTCTCTTGCTAACATAAGAGCAATCGTCCTGTAAACCTTGAAAGCACAGTCAATTCCTCAAAACGTTTCTCTGATTCTTGTGCACAGCCGCGCACCCGATGCCCACCGGCCATCCAAAGTTTTTTATAATACATTCCAAAAAATCCCACTGGTCGGATTTACTCGTACATTCCAATGAGAGATTGTCATCATAACATCTTTCAAAGTCGGCCAGGATGTTGGCCGCCTTGCTCACGGAAGCCTCATCATCAACTTGATACTTAACAAAAAAACTGATACATCGTCGAGCAGGCGGATTCCATAAACTAACCGCCTATCATTGCCCAAGGAGGCCAGAAACGAGAACTCAGAAAAGGCACAAGGTAAGCAGGCAATACCCGGACTTGAGGGTTTTCCCATCGGGATCTCCAGCACCTGCTGAAAAATCGAACCACAGGCCTTGCTAAAGGTGCGCGTCAGATCAAACATGACGAAAGTCTTGATCATATCAAACCCCACAAAATCCCAACCTTCCTCCTTCTTCCCTCTCAATAATTTAGCTTCCTTGCCCTGTTTCCTTAGAAGAATACCCTTCACCTCTTTCGATTGCCAGAACTCTATAACCCAATCCAACGCATTCATAATCGAAGAGTGAGGGAGGTTGCAAAACATCTCCTTCACATCAAATGCTGCGGTCAAAACTGCCTCCCCCTTCTTGACATTCTTATTAACTATATTCAAAGAATCAACCAGGAGATCGGTACATTTCATGTTGAAATGCGAGCCCTTGGGGAGATCCCATACCATCACATTTACAACTCGAGAGATCTTCCTGCATGCCCGCACGTTGCACTCAGGGAAAAATGGGCAAATAGGGCGCCATTTCGTCACATCCTTATGTTTCGGGATAAGGCAGGCTTGAGAATGAGAGAACAAGACATAAACGGTACGATAGTCAAGATAGGCAGGAAGCATCCAGACCTAAACATTCCCTTCCCTTTCTTTAATATTTCCACATGATCCCCCTTCCTAATCAAGGAAGAGCCATATCGGCGCTTGATCATTTTCCAATTCTCTGCAAATGACAACCCTCCAGTACAAGCAATACCCACAGTCGAAATCTTCAAATCCGAACAATGATCAAGAATGGTTGAAAGTAGTGGGGAGACCAGCCCCACAGTCGAGTGGAAGACCGGATGTCGCCGTATCGATGAAACCTCTCCATGACACCCCTCTCTTCGCTTTATCTTAAGCCTTTCCCTCTTCCCTAGTCTTCGTCTCCGACATCTTTTCTTCGTATCGCGACAATTCAGATGGGGACTCACTCGGCCAATCATATATTTTTCCAAAGCCAGAACGTCGTTGGCCTTACAAAAGAAGAGAGGAATGACGACATATTGACCAACATTCCCCCGCCTGAGCCAAGAGTACAATTTGTGGTTTCGTCTACCACCTTCAATCATGCTAGGATTAACGGCCCTGTACCCATGCTCGTTCCATCTAGTGGGTAGAGATGGGACAGTAGAGCCGACATACAAATGACGAGACCAGGGAGACAACAAAACATAGACCAACGACCCCTTGCACTCCTCCAAATCGACGGTGTGTCACACGCCGCCGACGCGGCGACGACCATAGCACCGGGCGCCACACCCGTGCCGGCGGACCAGGGCCATCAGCCCCAGGGGGATCTGCACACCCTCCTCACTTCCCTCCTCGTGCCCATTCAGGCACAACTTGCGATCCTCGCGCCCTTACAGGCACAAGTGGCGACCCTTGCCGCCGGCATGCAGCAACTCCAAGACGCTGCCTGTCCTTCATCTCTTGACTCTCTCTCTTCTCCTGGCTTCCAGTCGGGGTCCCCAGTCCTCCGACAGGGTGGCCACAATGGAGCTTCCTCCTCCGCTGCCCCCGACCCGGCCATCTTGGTGATCGTCCACGCCCCTAGCTCGACGGCCGCCACGAGTCAGGCCCTTCCTTAGTCTACGGGCGCACCCGCCCAGATTCTGGTCACTACGGACACGGGACCACAACCCGCTACCATGGTCTCAACTTTTCTGGGTGCCCCGCTTCTCCCTCCCCTTCGCACGGCCGCAGCGCCACCTGGATCTCCCCCTTCGGGGATGCCCCGCGCCGCTCGTGCGTCCACTTCCTCCACTCTTCCTCGTGCCACTCCTCGCTCGATCTACGTCCAACGTCTCGAGGACGAGCTTGCCCAGATCCGGGCCGACCTCGCCCTCTTACGCCCTCAGCCACCCCCACCCTCACAGGTGGCCGCGCCTTCAGGCGCACCCCCTCCTTCCTCTACCCTTCCTTCCATGCAGGCTCGCTTCCCTCGCCCTGCACCCTATCCAGCCCAATCCTTCCTTCTTCATATTCCCGCGGTTGCTGCGACCTCTTTTACCGCAGCTCCCTTGCAGCCTGCCGCTCTTGCCCCCGTCGCTCCCCCATGCGGCCCGGGCGCACAGTCAGTTGCGCCCCTTTCTCCAGGACCGGCGCCGACTTACTCAGCCGTGACACAGGCCTCTGCTCCTCAATCTCCTCGCCGCCAAAACGGTGGCGCACCACTCGTCCGCTTGACGGACATTGCCTTGTATGACAGTATAGGAATACGTGTGTCTCGGTGGCTACAGTCTGCCACCCGCACCCTCCAGCTCATGGGCGCTCAACCCGACACGTGGGTGGGTCATCTCTCCACGCGCCTGCGTGGCGGTCCTTTTGATGCCTGGGAGAATTTCTACGCTTACGCCCTTCATGCAGGTCGGACTTCGACCTTCATGGATTTCCAGGCGTTCCTCGAGTATCGCTTCGGAGCCCGACATGACGTGACTGACGCCTTCGAGCATGTCGTCACTACATGCTGGTCTGACTCTGGTGGCGCTGCGGCCTGGATCGCCACATCCAGGTCTTTTAGGACGCCCGCCTCATTTGCGTTGTGGCGTTCCTCCCCGAGGCTGCCCTTATCGATCGTTTCTTGGCCAGCCTTCTGCTCGAGTACCACTCCGAGTTATGGCGGTACGAGTTCACATCGGCCCTGCAGGCTTACGAGACCGTAAGGGACCATCATCGGATGCGGGTCCGTCTTCACCCCGCCTCCTCCTTCCAGCCTCAGCGTACTGGTTACGCCTCCTCCTCATCTCACGACACTTCCCAGCACCGTTCCCCTTTCCGCGGTCGCCCCCGCCGTTCCGCGCAGCAGGGCCGCCACTTCTCGCGCCGCTTCAGCGTGCTCGAGCATGGTGAGCATCACAATGTTGCCCCGCTGTCGCCCGAGGGTGACCATAGCGACGACCTCGACCTCGGCGAGGCCGTCCACTACCACCTGAAGGATTTTACTCTCCCTATGGCCGAGCGCCTCCAGCTCATCCTCTCCGCCCTCTCTCGGGCACACAGCCGCCCCGGTCACGCTGGCGCGACGCCCCAGAGATCCCTCAGAAGGACCTCCATCAGGGCTTTATCCCTCCTCGCGGTGTCCTTTCCGCTGAGGAGCGCGCGACTATTTTGGGTCGGCGTGGGTGTTTGCGATGCCGCCAGGACGGTCATACCTCCTCGCGGTGCCCTTACACTATTGCCCTTGACCGCCACTACGCTGACCTTTTCCGCCAGCGTCGTGCTCACTCCCCCCCCGGCGCCTTGCATCCCCGCGACGCCTCCTAGCCACGATGGAGTGTACACTTGCGCCCTCCTCAGTAGTCGGCTTCCCGACATCCCCGTCGCGGTTTGCCCCTCTCGCTATTGGAGTTGAGGTCTCGCAGGACCCGACAGAGTGTACTCAGCCTTCTATCATTGTACCGTCTGCGCCTCCGCAGACCACCGTCTCCCCTTCTGCCCCGCCGCAACTACCGACGCGTCGAGCCATTCACTCAACCCGTTGCAGCGAGCAGCTCGCTACTCGCGAGGACGTTGTGTCCTCTCTTTTGGACTTGAGCATGCTCCAGGCTCGTCAGGAGCGACTCACCCTCCATGTCGCTGCACTGCGTCGCCTTCTCACCATCCTCTTTGACCCTGATCGCACCCTCCCGATCATCCCCGTACGACTGCGGACCTCCACAAGGGTGTACTCAGTGCTATGGGATTCCGGTTCTGAGGGCGGCTTCATTCACCCACGTGTGGTGAAAGAAGCCCGCTTACCCACGACCGGGTCTCCGACTCCCACCTCTGTGAGAGATGGTTAATGGAAGGCCGAAAATTCGGTGTTTTTCGGCGCACCACCACAAGCAATGTCGTCGAAAATTTCGTGAAAAAACAAAGCAGGCTTATAATACAAACATAAAAAAAACAAACAGGCAAAAAAAAATAAAAATAAAAAAACTAAAATGCACTATAAAATCTATTCGGAGTAGCATTCGAAGTTCGCCAATTTGTTTCCCGAATTCGGTGTTTTTGCCAACTTTTTTGTTAGCGGTCCAAGTACATCGAAACTTAATATACATATACCCTTAAGCACATACATATCTCACAAAAAAACAAACAACAAAAAAATCATAAATTCGGGAAAATATGGTAGTTTCGGTGAAAAATCCGCCGAAAATGACACCACCTATTAACCATATGTGATCTCTGTCACCCTAGGGATGACAAGACCCAGCGCTTCTTCGATCAGACGGTCACCGACCTCCCTTTCTTCCTCACTCTCGAGCCGACTGATCGTCCCCCGGCGTCTCCTGGCCACCGCTCGTCCTCACATTTCGATGTAATGGAGACGGGTACGACTTGATTCTCGGTACTCTATGGTCTCGTCGGTTCCGCAACACCGAGGCCGATTGGGCGACCAATACCCTCATTCTCAAAACAAAGTGTGGAAAGACGTATCGCGTACCTTTCATAGGTACCAATGCGACACCACGCCCTGATCCTCCTCCCCCGGAGCCTTCCGTGCCCACACCATCTCCTTCTATCACTGTCACCTCGCCTCGGCAGTTCGCCCACTTCATCCGACAGGACAACGTCACTTTCTTTATGGTGAACGTGATGGATCTCTTACACTATGATCCACGCTGTTTCGACGCCGAGCTCATCCCTCTGGAGCCAGATCCTCCGTCTATCTCCATGGCTCCCATCTCTACTTCCCACCCCCCGCCGTCCGTCGAGTCCGCCCCGTCGTCGCGCGCCGACGTTGACGTTGAGGAACTCGCACGCTATACCGCCGACCTGGAGCCCGCAGTTCGTGACCTCATTCGAGAGTACCACGACGTGTTTCCATCGTCGTTCTCGTACGCTGGCATCCCACCGATGCATGACGTCGAGCACTCCATCCAGCTCGTGCCTGACTATCGTGTTCACCATCAGGCACCCTACAGACTCTCGATCCTCGAGGCCACCGAACTCAAGCGTCAGCTTGAGGAGCTCCTGAGACTGGGTTTCATTAAACCCAACAACTTCCCGTGGGGTGCATGCGTCCTCTGTGCTCGCAAAGCGGATGAAACTCTCCGTCTCTGCATCGACTATCGCGGTCTCAACCACTACACGGTTAAGAGCAGCTACCCCATGCCTCGTTCCGATGAGCTATTCGACCGGCTACTAGGCAACCGCTTCTTTACGAAGATTGATCTTCGTAGTGGTTACCATCAGATCCGCGTCGCTGTAGCCGACCAGCCGAAGACAGCGTTCGGATCGTGCTTCGTCCACTACGAGTTTACGGTGATGCTATTCGGTCTCACCAACGCACCCGCTACCTTCCAGAGGGCGATGAACGACATCTTCAGGGACGTCCTGGAGCAGTATGTTCTCGTCTACCTCGACAATATCCTGGTCTACAGTCGTACCCTTGAGGAGCACCTCAGACACCCCCACGGTGTCCTTGACCGCTTGCGCAGACATGGCTTTTACGCCAAGCTGAGCAAGTGCCGCTTTGTCCAACACAAAGTGGATTTCTTAGGATACTATGTGTCTGACCAGGGTCTCCACATGGACGATGCGAAGATCACTGCTATTGCGGAATGGCCCGTCCCCACAGCCGCCAAGCAGCTTCGCAACTTCCTAAGCCTTACCAGCCTACTATAGTAATTTCATCCAAGGATACGCTAGGTATTCCTATGTCCTTACCTCCACCCTCCTCCGAAGAACCAACCTTGGGCTTGGACACCCTTCACGAGGATGCCTTTCTCGCCCTCAAAAAGGCGGTGACATGCGCACCGGTTCTTCACCTACCCAATTTTGATCGCCCTTTTATCCTTACCATCGATGCGTCAGACTTTGCTGTAGGAGCACCTGGAGCAGTGCTTTCTCAGATTTTCCCCTCCTCTCCTGGTTCCTCTCATCCTTGTATCCCTCGCTTCCCACCCCCTACCCCTACCACTGCCTCCCGATTAGCGCCTACTCGTCCAGCTATTGACGAACCTTCAATTGACTATTCTCCTACCATCGCCGACGACGACAATGTTGAATCTCACTCAGGTGACTGTCCGATAGCCTTCTACTCCCGTCAGCTCCTACCCGCCGAGATAAACTACACCGCTGATGAACGTGAGGTTCTCACAGTCTATGTGTCCATTCAACGTGCAACGGAAAAGTTTCAACTCCGTTGTACCCGTTGAATAACCCTCGGGGCCCAGATGAATCCCCGTTGAATAGTACAACGGGCCCTCCCCGTTGAATACTGTTCAACGAGGAGGGTGCATTGGGCCTCGGACACGTCGCGGAGTGCGCGTGGAGCAAAAAAAAAAATTCATCCCGCTGAATCCCGTTGAATCCCGTTGAATTCCCGTTGAATCCCGTTGAATTCCCGTTGAATCCCGTTGAATTCGAGTTGAATTCCGTCATGTTTTTTTTTTTTTTTTTTT